CAATATCTGCAGAGCAGAACTTACCTTCCACAGCAATTATTTTAGTTAGCATATAGCTAAAATCTGACGATGGTTATACAATAGTAGCTGCATTCTGACGTGATAAGCTGTATGTTTTATATTCAATTAACGTATGATCTGATTAGTCGACTAATCGAATAATTAATCGGTGATTAATCGATTATTAAAATAATCGTTTGTGGCAGCCCTAGTGCAGGGTGAGTTGTCCTGTTAATCTTTATTAAATAACATAAAACAATAGACCCGATAATAATATTTTCTTAACCGTCCTCCTTCAAGACCGGACCAAAATGCGTGACACTGACTACTGTCTGCAAAAACTGTCCATCTTACCAAGTTTTAAAATCTTATAACCAGCAAAAGTCTTTTAATTTTATTTTGAGACTGATTTACTAAACAAGAACAGAAAGTGTAAGAATAATAATGTTGTTTTCAGAATGTGTAAGATTATTTATCTTGTTAGCCTGAAAATTTGACTCAAATTAAGTGAAAAATTTTTTGCCAGTGGAGTAAGAAAATTTTACTTGGTAAAGACTTCTTGAAATACTTGATTTGACTCAATTTTTTCTTATTTAAAGAGTCTTACCTAGTAAAATTTTCTTACTCTATTGGCAGAAAATTTTCACTTAATTTGAGTCAAATTTCCTGGGTAACAAGATAAATATACTTACACATCCTAAAAACAAGATTATTATTCTGTTCTTGTTTAGGAAATCAGTCTCAAAACACGATCAAAAAGACTTTTTGGCTGGATATAAGATTTTAAAACTTTATTAGATGGACAGTTTTTGCAGTGCTCAAACCACCGGTCAGAGAAGAAAAAACAGACAGAGGTACAGTAAAAGAAAAAAAGTCAATAAGCTGTTTGTACATTTTATTATCAGCTGACCTGTGATGAAAAGAAAAATACCGTGATATACCGTGAAACTGGTATAAATGTTGAAAATACTGTGATATTAAATTTTGGTCATACTGCCCAGCACTATTTTATAGTGTTTTAATGTTTTTGGCACATCACCAGTCTTACAGCAGCTGTAATATGGCACCTGGCCACTGTAATGTGCAGAGCTGCAGATTAAAGGAGCTCAAGCACCAGTTGAGAGGTTTTCTCCACATTTAGTGGTAGAAGAACGGCTCCAAACATTCTACACAAAGGCCACGGATGCTCTAAACGTCACATCTACGAAAGCAGAGTTAAATAAAACCATACTAATTTATTATTTAAGCTAGATATTTGAACTAATCCAGCCATATGTAACTTGATCACTTCTTTTTCTCTCCTACTTCTTTCTCACCTGGCTGCTGTGTTGTAACATAGAAGTGGAAAACGTAACAGCTGAGCTGCGGTTGTAACGCACACACAAAGAAAAAAAAAAGCCAGTGTGGAAATTCTGAGCGTGTGGAACTCAAATTATTTTTTGACAAGAAAGCGAAACGCATAAATAAAAAGTAATAAAAACAACAACCAACTAACCAGAAGGCACTCCTACTAATCCCTCGTGAGAATCCCCAGGATGGAAGCTGCTTCGGCCGGCGAACAGAGAGCCCATCTTGCAGTGCAGCATGCCGTTCGCGTCGGTTTCCATCTCGTTGCTCGTGTCTCCGTAACACACTCCTGGGACAAACATGATAATTAATCACTGTTTCATTCCAMGGGGACATGATCCTAAAACACAAAAAAACAGAAACAAGAGCCTCCAGGGGCACAGGAGAATTTAATATGTTTGAACACTGAATGATGCTAAGTGCTTCGACTTATTTACAAACATTTAAAATTTATGGTTTGTTTGTGTTGTCAGCAGTTATAGGAATTGCGGGAAATATAACCTTGTGCGTTTTGATATCTTGTCGTGTTTTATGCTCTGTGATGTCAACATCAAAGACTTTGTTTTCTTGTGATAATACTGATGTAACCAAACTTTGACAAACTATAAAAATCAATGGTTCATGTGTCTTCAATGTAAAAAAATAAATA